GCTGTCTCCCAGAGGGGCCTGGTGAGGTAGTGACGGGGACGAGGAGGGGCCTGGGCCCTTCAGTGGAGCCGCTGCTGGGATCTGGGCAGGACAGGGAGGCAGAGGCAAGGAGCAGGGTCAGAACCAACCTTGGCTCCCACTGCCCCAGACACCGGGGAGCCCAGCCACTCCCCCGACACCACCCTTCCTAGCAGCCCCTTGTCCTGGAGCCTCTACCATGACAGCGCTATCCTTCCCACCTCTCCTTTCTCAACTCCCCACCTCACCCCTGCACCTGTGCCCCCCTCACCCCTGTACCTTCCCCCCTCACCCCCTCCACACCTCTGCCCTCTGGTCTCTCCCCCTCACCTCTGCACCTGTGCCCCACCTCATCCCCTACCTCACCCCTGCACCTGTCCCCCCTCATCCCCTCCACACCTCTGCCCTCTGGTCTCCCCGCTCCCCATATGCCCCGCCTCCCCAGCTCCCCGGATGAGGCAGCTCTGCAGGGTGGGGGCAGCAGCAGAGGAAGCAGCAGGGACACCACGCCAGCTGCCAGCGGGGAGGGCAGGCCAGGGAGCGGAGCACAAGCAGCGAGGGGGAAGGAGGCGCCGCGGGCAGCGTCCCAGCAGCCAACCCGGCCTGACTGCCTAGCTAAGCAAGGAAAGCAGACGCCAGTGTGGATACCTTCCTGCGTACCAGGGTGGGGACGGGGGACCCCGGGCGCTGAGGAGGCAGCTGAGGGGCAGGCTGTGACTCCTGCGCCCCATTCTAAGGCCTCAGGCTGCGGGCCTGTGTGTCAGGGCTGCGGGCCCACCTGGGCCACAAGAGCCTGCAGGGACGGGCATGTGTGTGCACACGAGTGTGGGGTGTGCACATGTATGACTTGTACCAGATCCGGCACAGTCTGCCACAGGGACACAGCGACCCTGCCTGCACCGCCTCAGCCAGAGCACCTCGCCCCCTGCACGCTCCTCCCCGGGGGTCACCTCCCCCAGAACCATGACCTCGGAGCCACTGCGTCACCCGTGTACCCGGCACTGGCACCGGCGAGTCCGCCCCAGTGACAGCTCACTCTGACCCAGCGTGCGCTGGCGCCTGCGCCCACCCGTGTGGCCTTCCCCGGCCCTGAGAGCTGGGACCAGGTTGGGCCGATTCACAGGTGAGACACTGAAGCCGGGAGCGAGATGACTGGTCCGGAGACTCCCTGTTTTACCCCCACCCAGGACCTCAGAGCCGGCCGAGGACTCAGGGGACTCGCTCGGGGTCACCCAGCACTGCCTCCTCCGAAGCCGGGGCTCTGGGCTTCGAGCCCCCAAGGTGGGCTGACTCGTGACTTCAGAGTCATGACCCGCTTTCAGGCGCCAAAGCTCTGACCCTCCAGCCCCCTCCAAGCCTGGCCCTGGATAACCGGCATCCAAAACGAGGTCCCAAACCAACAGCTCCCTCCACACCCCACCAGGGGCCTGCCGCCCGCCCGAGGGGAAGGGGCAGCCTGGCTCTCACAGGGGCCATGAGACTGTCGCCTGGGTAACTCCCCCCCAAGGCAGTTTGCTCTGGTGACCTTTGACCTGGCGGTCCCCTACCAGGCGCCTATCATAAGGATCAATCAGGCCCTTGCTCACAGGGCTATTCTTATAGGAGAAAATAGGAAACCAACCCCAATGGCCCAAAACAGGTGTGTCGCTAAGCGAGTGGGAAGAGCTGGCCCCTTCCACGCCTTCCTGAACGCACGGCCAGCACAGCGCGCTCGAATGCCGAGTGAGACGAGAAGAACGCATTACGTGACGGCCGGACAACTGGCTAAACTGCATTACGGACAGTGGATTAGATCAGCGGTCGCCAAACCGGTGGTTCGCAGACCACGCACATGGTGGTCCGCGAGGTCCAAAAGGTTGGCGACCGCTGGGTTAGGTAACAGTACTGTCTCCGCGCTAAACTTGCTGAATTTGAATATTATCTAGCACAATCGAGTAAGAGAACGTTCTTGTTCTAAGGGCTGAAATACTCGCTGCATTACGGACAGTGGATTAGATCAGCGGTCGCCAACCGGTGGTCCGCAGACCACGCACATGGTGGTCCGCGAGGTCCGAAAGGTGGGCGACCGCTGGGTTAGGTAACAGTACTGCCTCCGCGCTAAACTTGCGGAATTTGAATATTATCTACCACAATCGAGTAAGAGAATGTTCTTGTTCTAAGGGCTGAAATACTCTGCTAAAATATTAAAGGTGGCTGAAACCGGTTTGGCTCAGTGGATGGAGCATCGGCCTGCGGACTGAAGGGTCCCGGGTTCGATTCTGGTCAAGGGCGTGTGCCT